AGGGCTATAGCCACTGTCCCCTCTGATGGACTGGTGCTAGAGCTGGTAAGATCTAGAAAGACACACACCAACTTGTTGAAATAATGCTTTTTTCTAGGTATTGGGAAGGTAGGTCATTTTTCTTTCTTTTTGCTTAGCCATGGGTTCAGCTTTTCTACAGCAAACACAGTTTACTTAAGTAATGGAAATTACTTTTTTAAAACATGAAAGATAACAGGCAGATCTGAAACGTCCCGGGATGAAGTCGAGTCCCCCGTTATTTCTCCCGCCTCCACCCTCACTATTCCTGCTGGCAGGCCCCCGTTACAATACAGCAAGCAGTCTTAAGGGGTGCGTCAAGAGCCTCCTGAACATGGCCTTGAATGTCTCCAGAAACCAGGCCCACACCCTGGGTTTCAGCAGAGAGGCATTGTGCTTCCCTGGCCGCGAGCCTACCTACTGCCCCTGGTCAGCATGACTAACCATCTAATTCTGGAGAAATGGGAACTCATTGAGTGATCTGGCTTCCTCCAGAGAGCAGCCCATTTATTTCCTGAAGTGACTGGTCCACTGGGAAGTGGGCCAGGATGAACCTTTGAAGTGCTCCACGGTGAGAGGAGGAGAAAGAAGAGAAAGCACAATAGAGCGGCCAGGGACTATGACGGGGATGAAAAGTTCATGTCCTTGTTAAGAACAAAGATTAGATCAAAGCTAGCAGATACACGGCCCACATACCGCTACCACTTATCTGCTGCCCAGGGCAGACATTGTCAATCAATCACAGCACTTTATCCTCACTGAGATGTGGCCTCAGAATCCTCCTCGGTGCAGCTCCAGGCAACCTTCCCATCAATTGCAAGTGTCACCAGAACTGAATCTCATTTGTCATCCCTGGACTACTTGGGCTAGTGATGCTAACTCTCCACACGAGTCCACTGGGACCCCGTGAACACAGTGATCATGAGTGTCCCCTGAATCGGGAGCACGCACCAAAAGGTGCTGTAAGGTCGGTGGTTGCTGTGAACTTCCTCCAACTCATGGAGACGTCGTTCTTTCTGGCATCAGAGAAACTCCCCGCTGGGTGTGGCTCTACCCTCTGCCAGATGGCACATGAGAGGTCATCCTCTCGTCAACTTTTTTTGGGTCATGGAGCCCTTTCTCCAAGTCAAAACAGTTAGAAGGTCAAATTGCCAAAATGTGATGGAACTACTGTGCTTGAAGCTGAGGTGACCGTCCCAAGCCACAGCCGCCCAGTGCCACCTCAGCTGATGCCTCGACCACTGAAGGACTTCCTAGGAACTCTGAGGGTGCTTCCTGTGGGACAGAAGGTGGTCAATGATTTTCTCCAAGCTCCAGCGTTTCATAGATGGGGGAAACTGAGGCCCAGAGAGGAGATGTGGCTGGGAAAAATTCACCCAGCCGGTGAGGGGCAGGCCCAAGAACCCAGGAGTTGATCCAACCAACCAACCCAGTGTATTTGGTTCCTTCTTGGGGAAAGCTATATATGATATAGTCTCCCTGAATTTCTGCAGCTTCTCCCAGCTTCAGTCTTGTCAGTCACCCCGTACCTCCCATTTCCAGATCTGCAGCCGATTCACCTGCCTCGTGAATACCTCCACGGTGCGATTCACAAGGATCCCAAACTCATCATCCAACCTGAAGCTGAACATCCAAACTTCTTCCTCCCAAGCTGTTCCCGTCCAGCATTCCCATTGCCTAAGAGCCCCATCAGCCCCTGCAATTGCTGAAGCCACAAAGTTGGGGTCATCCTTGATTCCTCCTTCCCCTCATAAGCAGTTTCTGTGGCCTTCACCTTGATCTTGACCTTGACCTCCATCATGTCTCTCCATCCCCACTGCCTTTTGCCTATTTTAAGCCACTATCAGTACCCCCTGGATTTTGGCAACAGCCCCTTAACTGGTCTCTCTGGCTGCAGCTTCTCCCTCCATTATTCAGGTTGTAGCCAATGTAATCTTTCTAAAACACACACTTGAACCTTACTCTCAGGCTTCTAATTCTTCAAAGGCTTCCTATTGATCTTCGAAAAATGTCCAATCTCCTTGGCATAGTTTACTGCATCCTTTGTAATCTGACCCGTTTACCTCTTCAGCCCAATCTTTTGGGATTCCCTGATCCAGATACATACAAAATGGACCTACTTTGTGTCCACAGTGTATGTGTGTGTGTATGAAGGTCTAAACTTTTCCAAGCAGTGCCCTCTGCCTGGAACAATTTCTCCTCCCTTTTTTCCTAGCTCACCATTCCTCATGCTTCAAGGCTCTCCTTAGCTGTCACATTTAGCAATGTCCTTTCCCACCCTCAATGGTTTACACTGTGGTGACCTCCACGAGTCTCCCCAGCAACTATCCTGCCTGTTCCCACTCGTCACCTCAAAGAGCCTTTTATTTTATTTTTTTATTTTTTTTCAACGTTTTTTATTTATTTTTGGGACAGAGAGAGACAGAGCATGAACGGGGGAGGGGCAGACAGAGAGGGAGACACAGAATCGGAAACAGGCTCCAGGCTCTGAGCCATCAGCCCAGAGCCCGACGCGGGGCTCGAACTCACGGACCGCGAGATCGTGACCTGGCTGAAGTCGGACGCTCAACCGACTGCGCCACCCAGGCGCCCCTAAAGAGCCTTTTTTTAAAAGTGTTTATTTACTTTTGAGAGAGAGAGAGCATGAGAGCAGGGGAAGGGCAGAGAGAGAGAGGGACAGAGGATCCGAAGCAGGCTCTATTGAACCACTGAGGTGCCCCCAAAGAGCCTTTTTTTTAATGTCCTGCCTGTTACCCACACTGGACACAAAATCCCTGAGACCAGGGATTCTGTCTTGTTCCCTGCTGGAGCTTCAACCTGAAAAGGCGGTAGATGCTTAATAAATTGTCAACAGACAGATGCATGAATTGATTCCATGACATTTTTATTCTTGACTGACCTCATGTTGTAATCACTGAGTCAGGAAGTTAGTGCCCTCATCTCCTCATTCCGTACTATTATTTTGTGTGGAATAGAAGATGAGCCAACAAAAAGAAAAAGAAGAAAGAAAATGGAGCAGGCTCAGCCGTGAAGGGAGTGGCCTTGAACAGCGTGCTGTGTGCATGGATGTGGGCTCCTTAGGCATCCCAGAGGGTGCAAATAGTTCCCCAGTCGTTTGGCTTTTAATTCTAAGTATCTTTCCAGGTAAAAGAGGATCAAATTCCTCCAGTGCACCTCGGTGTTCTCCTCGAAGAGCGCACATCTCTCTCCTAAGCTGGTACTGTAGTTTTGTTTGCGGTGACACCTCAGTTTTTCCTTGAGGACCACAGCGTCTTAGTGCAGCGTCCCCAGAGCTTACCACAGTGTCTGTCACAGAATAAGCCCTCCGTAAATACGGGGTGGGTGGATGGAGGGGAAGTAAGGGGCGTGGGAGGAGAGAGAGAGAAAGAAGCGAATGACGCTGAGACAGACGATAAAGGGGGAAAGATGACAGAAGGAAAGGAGCTAAACGCTCAAGACAGGCTGGGGTCCAGATGTTCCTCCGGACCGTGGTCCTTGGCGCAGGCCAGGCTCAGTCCAGCAGCTGTGATTCACTGTCTCCCAGTCTGGGGGACACACCTGCCTGGCAGGCTGTGCTTGCCAGCTCAGGTGCCCAACCCCCTCTTGCTGCGCTGCGGGGCAAATGTGAGCCAGGACCCGCCCCACAGCCGCCTGCTCACCACCCTCTGTTTTAGGGCCTCCCACGCCCCTGCATAAGCCAAGCACGGGATAGGTCCTTGATCAAGCTGCAAGGGATGTTAGGGAGTGACTGGTCAGCCCGGAAGACCGAGTGGCCTCTGTCCCCTTGATCCAAAATAACAGCCCTCCTCCCTTCTTCCTGCTTTGTTTCTCTTCCCAGCAGTGACTGCACACTTCCAGAGCCTAGAACAGACCGCGGTGAGTCGCAAGCCCTTGGTTTCTTGGAATGGGAAGTTTTGATAGCTGGGGAAAGAAAGGCCTGGAGAGGCCCAGAGACTTACTCAAGGTCACACAGCAAAGCGGAGGCAGAGTTCCCACCTCTTCGCGTGCTACCCGCCCCCCACACACCTTCCAGGGAGGCCAGCTGAGGGAACTCGCCTCAGAGACCAGAGCCCTGCCCCCCAGTACCGCAACCAGCAGCCACAGGGAGCCCTCTCAGGGTGATTACTGTGACTGAGGAGCTGAATTGTTCATGTTTTATCATTTTAATTAATTTACATTTAAATGGAAAAAGAGATACTCAATCGTTACTCGAAAACTTTTCTGTCGGTCTGGAGCAACCTGAGGAGGTGAATGTACGTTTCCAACTATACGTTTTATAAAATCTAAACCCAGATCAAGTATTCCCATGAAAATTTAGTATCCAAATTGAAAAGCGCTGTAAAAGTGTAAAACGCACTCTGCATTTGGAAGGTTTAGTATGCTCAGAAGAATGTAAAGTATCTGGCCAATAACTGTGCGTATTGGTTTTACGTTGAAAAGATCATATTTGGGGGATATATTGGGTTAAGTAGAGTGTGTTATTAAAACTTCATCTATTTCTTTTTCTTTTTGAACGTGGCTGCTCAAAAATTGAAAATGCCTCAGGTGGCTCCGTCAGATTTCCAGCGGGCAGTGCCAGGCTAGATGGGGTGGAAGGAGGGTGACTCACTGGCTTGGGGGTCTGGCCCCCCACTGGTCGGAACAGGAGGGGCAGGTCACTGGGCTACTCTGGAGGCCCGCCGGAGCTGGCTCCCTGCTCTCTGCACTCACACACTTCCCTGGCGGCGGGGGAAGCAGCTCCGGGATTAGCGTTAATTCTTTCCCTGGAGGGCAGATGGGGAGAAGGTTAAATGCCAAGTGACTGCAGCTGCCCAATTAAGCTCTGGGAGAGGGATGGGGGTGGAGAAGGGGCTGGGGAAGGCTCCTAGGGATTCCCAGGGAGGCGGCAGACAGCAAGGGCTGGACCACCTTTATCTCATTTCCCCTGCACCCGCCGCAGTTTCCCCCGCCCCAGGCTCAGCAGGGGTGGTTCACTTTCCCAGGACCACACTGCAGGCTCAGAGCTGAATGAACTAGACTCCATCCTCCTAGTCTCTGCTCCAGCTCTTTAAGTAGAAAGCCCGGGTTCAAGACCAGTTGTCTGCTTTACTGTTGCTCTGAAGAGAAGTGGAAGCAACAGAACTGAGGCTCAAGAGGGATTTGGCCAAGGCTCACCCTGACACTGACCATGTGCTACGTGCCTCCGTGCATTCCCTGGCTGAATATTCTCACGACACTCCTGTGCCATGACCACCATCCCTATTTATGGGTGAGGATGTGGAGGCTCAGAGAGGTTCAGCATGATGGCCAGGGACACCCAGGTAGGACACCCAGGTAGGCAGCTGGGAAGCCAGGGGATTTGAATACCCAGTGACCTGGTCTGACCTGAACTCTGGGCTTAACAACCATGTCCTGTCACCTCTTCTGCCGAGAATCTTCCCCCAGGTGTCAGACTTGCCTGCAGGGAGGCCAAGCTGGTGGGATGTCTGCCTAGAAACTGTCTGCTTCGGCAGGAGGAGGGATGTCGTATGCCCTGGGCTACCTCCTACTTCCTCAAGCTTACATGCCACCTCTTCCAGAAAGCCCTCACTGATTCCCTCCCACCTTGTCTTCCTGCATCCTCCTCACTGCCTCTGCCCTCCTGATGGTTTTATTTCTCCACATACAGGTAGCCAACATACACTGAGCATTTCACTCACATCACTTCCCATTAGCTTTGTGGTAGTTAACTTTCTGGGTCAGTATGATTGGGATGTGGGGTGCAGAGATTAAACTATTTCTGGGCAGGTCTGTGAGGGTGTTTCCAGAAGAGATTGCATTTAAAATCAGAGGACCTAGGGGCGCCTGGGTGGCTCAGTCGGTTGAGCGTCCGACTTTGGCTCAGGTCATGATCTCACGGTTCGTGAGTTCGAGCCCCACGTCGGGCTCTGTGCTGACAGCTTGGGGCCTGGAGCCTGCTTCAGATTCTGTGTCTCCCTTTCTCCCTCTGCCCCTTCCCTGCTCATGATCTGTCTCTCTCAAAAATAAATAAACATTTAAAAATAAAAAAATAAAAAATAAAAAAATAATAAAACCAGAGGACCTAGTAAAGCGGCTTGCCCTCCCAGGGTGGGTGGACCTCTGCCAATCCCTTGAAGGCCAGAATGGAACATAAAGACCGAGGAAGGGGGCATTTGGGACTCCTTGAGATCTGAGTCCTCGACGAGGGACTCGCACTGTCTGCCCTCCAGTTCTCAGAACAGCCCCCCTTCTCCTGGGTCCCCGGCAGACACAGACCCCTGGGTCTCCTCAGCCTCCACCACCACTTGAGTCATGTTCTTATCCTAACTCTTATCTGTTTAGCTGGTTCCATTTGTCTTGACAATGCTGACTAACACAACCCTCACAACCAGCCAGTAAAGAAATGTTCTCTTTGACAGTTGGGGAAACTGAGGCATAGAAAAAGAAAATGAACTGCTCACATCACAGAGCTCCTAAGGAGTAACATCTCCATATGTTTCCAGCCTGAGCACCCACTCTGAAAGGCCCTACCATTCTTCCACACAGCACCCTGCGACACACACACTGTCTGAGCACTGCCGGTGTGCCCATCACTGAGGGTCCAGCAGGGAACAAGAAAGACCCTTGGCCAGGGAGCTTCCATGCAAGGAGAGCAGGCAGAGAGAAATCAGGTATTCAGGTAAGAATAAAAGTGATTTCTGGTCGGGACAAGGTAAAATACGGGGATCATGCGCGGGGAGGGTGGTCAGGGAGGATCACATGAGGTTATATGTGAGCAGAGATGTGCAGTGAGGGGGACAAGTCCCAGGAAGATCTGGAGGAGAGGGAACACCAAGGACGAAGGCTCTGCAGGGAGAGCATGCTCAGCATGTCGGGAAACCAGAATGGTCCACACAGACTACACGTATATTCGCAGCGGCGTTATTCATAACCCAAAAAGTGGGAGCAACCCCGCGTTGGCCAACTGATGAATAGACGCAGGAAAGGGGCTATAGCCATCCGTCAGAATATTATTTGGCCACAAAAAAGGAACGAGGTACCGATGATACAAGCTAGATGAATCTGGAATTGTGTGCAAGAAGCCAGACAGACACGGATGGTGGTATTCCATGTATATGAAATACCCAGAGTAGACAAACCTGTGCAGACAGAATGTGGATCCGTGGCTGCCTAGGGCTGGCGAGAAGTGCAGGGGCGGGGGCCGGGCGGGGGGGGGGGGGGGGGGGGGGTGCTGGTGAGAGGGGCTGGTAATGGGGATGCAGTTTCGATGGGGGATGATAAAAATATTCTACAATTAGACTGTGGTGATAATTGCACAACTCTGTGAAAACAGATAACAACCACTGAACTGCACACTTTCAGTGGGTGAGCTTTATGGTATGTTAATTATATCTCAATAAAGCTGTTAAAAAGAAAAGAAACAAGCCAACAAACAGAAGAAGCAAGAAGGGGCGGGCGGCTGCAGCAGGCTGAGCAAGAAGAGAAAAGGCAGGCAGGTCCGGTTGGCCCTCACAGATGAAGCACTCTGGCTTTCACTCTGTGGATCGAAGCCCCTGGGGTTTCTGAGCGGCCAGTCTGGTGGCCCTGTATTCGTGCTTGAAAGATGATTCATTCACAAGGCAGCCTGATGTTCTCCACAGATCCTGGTGCCTGGATTCAAATCCCAGCCGGGCGCATGGCCCTGGCTGTGTGAGTGCGGCAAGTTATGACGCCTCTGGGGGCCTCAGTTTCTCACCCGTTAAATGGGATGATAATAGCATCTCCCTCAGAGGAGGCTTAATGGAGCGAATATTCATGAAACTCTCAGAATAGTGCCTGGCACGTAGGCAGGTCCATAAAAGTTTGGTAATTTAAATAAATAAGATAGTACTCACTAGATGATTCTTATCTGCCTGGGGAGGGAGCAGAGCCAGTCAGATCTGCTTTTTGCTTTGCAAAGCTCTCGGCCCCTCGCCTGGCTCCATCCAGCAAGTAATTGCTCCCGAGGCTTCATTCCAAATGGGCCATAAATCAGAGGCCAGGGGCTCCTGTTACCGGGGGCTGGCAGTGAAGTCCCTCCCCAGGGTAATTGGAAGCAGATGTTGCCAGCCGTCTGGCCTCCTGAGGCCTGTGTACCTGGGCTGCTTGCTTCAACAGCAGTCGGGGCAAGAATTTCCATGAGCCCTTGAAGCAAAGGTCGTCAAAGAAAAGGCCTCCTAGGGCTTCCACATGTTCAGTGGCTTGTTTCAAGCAGGAGGTGGGCAGCTAAAGGGGGTCCTCTGGGGCCGAGAGAGGGAGGCAGGGTCGTGAATGACCCTGGGGCTGTCCAAGGGGCCGACTGGCAGGCAGGACGTGGGGGCCGGGAGATGGCAACCTGGAAAGGAAGGGGCACTGCGCTGGGGGCATGAGGGCCTGCTCCACATTCTCCATTTCTCAAGTTTCCAGCCTGTGCTCTAAAGGATGTCGACTTTCTAGACCTCTGTTTTCTCGTCTGTGAAATGGGTGTGATATTACCGACCTCAAATACATCTGAAGGGTGGGAAGTTACTGAGGTTAAGGCTCCAGTACAGCGTCCAGCACACTGTGGATGCTCAAAACAATAAAGGTAGTTATTACCAGGGACTGAGGCCCAGAGCCTTGTGATTCAACAAGCCTCTATTGTCCTGGACAGTGAGCACTGTGGATGACAGGAGGAAGTCTAGGACACCCTTAGGAGGCTCTCTTTCCAAGGTTCCTAAGGCCAAGGTTTTGAGAAGGTCCAGAAAATTCCTTAACAGTCATTCAGCTATAAGTGCCTGGGTAGTTTGGCTTCAGGTACAGTTGATTCAGGACTCAGATGATGTCACCAGGAGGCATCTGTCCTCTTTAACTTCCTCTGATGGATTGCCAAATTTAGCAAATAGAAACACAGGATGTCAGTTTGGTTTGAATTTAAGATAAACAATAAATGCTTTTATAGCATAAGTGTGCCCCACTAATTCTTTTCAGTGTAAGTGGGTCCCAAATATTTAGTGAGAAAAACTTCACAGTTTTTTTTTTATTCATTGCTTGTCTGAAATTCAAAATTAACTGCACCTCCTGTATTTTATGTGGCAGCCCCTTAGTTCACCTGGGGTAGCGGTAAGACAGCAAGCCTCTCATAGCTTCTCACTGGCTCTGATTGGGTCACGAGACTCTCCCAAATCCATTGCTGTGGCCTGGGGTTTCCCTGCCCCATTCCTAGGCTCTGAGACTGGGGCCAGTGTATCCCAAGATCCTAGGAGAGTAGTTCCCTCGAAGTCCAGTATGGGGTGGATGTAAGGCAAGGAAACCAGGAGCCAATGTGAGCAAATACAGGGAGGGGGATTTTTGAGCCAGAGGCGGAGAAGTGGGTGTCCAACCAGCTGGGATAACCAGAGCAGGTGCAGTGCTAAGAGGCAAAAGTGGGTCTCTTAAGGCTAAAGAAATCCCCTGGTTGTGCCTGGCTCTGCAAAGGCATCTCTGTACGATCCCCCCTCCAGGAAGCCCTTCCCTAATTATTTCTCTTCTACGAGGCTCAGTTTCTTCATCCATCAACCAAATGAGGGTAACAGGTCAAACTTCTTGGGGTCATTTGGACACTTATCTGAAGTTCAAGTGACCTCTGATTTGAAGCCCAGTTAGTTCTTATACAGCGGTCGCAAATTCAGTTGCCGTCTCTCCAAACTTCTTTTCCTGGGGGTGCCTGCGTGGTTCTGTCAGTGAGGCATCAACCTCTTGGTGTCCGCTCAGGTCAAGATCCCTCAGTTCATGGGTTCGAGCCCCTCCTCAGGCTCTGCGCTATGAGTGTGGCGTCTCCTCGGGATTCTCTGTCTCCCTCTCTCTGCCCCTCCTCAGCTTGCACTCTCTCTCTCAAAATAAATAAATAAACTTTATTAAAAAAAACAAAACAAACTTCATTTCCTAAGTGTAGATTTTTCCTAAGTGGGGTTCCAGTGCTAAAGTTCTATTTCATTACTTGAAAAAACCAAAATGACTTATGATATCTGGTCAGGGCTTCTCAACACTATGGACATTTGGGACTGGATCATTCTTTGCCATAAGAGGACTGCCCCACGCATTGCAGGACATTGAGCAGCTCTCCATACCCAGCCAAGACAACAAAAATGTCCCCAGACACTGCCAAAGGTCCCCTGGGGGGGGTAAAGTGGCACTCTCCACTGAGAACAACTATGATAATAGAATAAAACACACAAAAATACTCACATAAACATGTTTTAAGCTACTGCATCCAACGTGTATGGAAAACCCTATATTATCCAGCTCCCTCTGGAGAGGCTCCGTATGGGCTGAGCCCTCTGCCATCCCTTAAAATAAAGTCCACATAAATTGGAGTGAAGACACCACTTCTGAAGTGAGGGAGGCCTGAGTATTCTTCCTGCCCCTAGGGACTTTCAAACTGCACTGAAAATGAGAATCATCTGTCTCAAAAATGTTTACATGCCAAGTTAATTGAATGGAGAAGGCTAAGGATAGGGCAATGCCCACTCGTCTTTCGGCTCCCATGTAGCAAAAGCCAAAGGGCTTCTTGAAACAACATCGGGATTTGTGTAGTGTTGGTGTCTTGAAGTCATGCTCTGCTTTTTGGTATTCTTTGTAAGTCATAGAAATAAGCATCACAGCCAAGATGTCACCAGCTGTGGTCATTGGGAAGGAGAGAATCGGGGCACCTGCAGGTAAACACAAGGCAGCCAAATTCGGTTTAAGGCTGCCCTAGACCTTATCCTGAAAGCTGGGTTTACCTCTCACCCATTGGGTGTCACTGGACAAGCTGACTCCTCCTTCTGACGGGGTCTGGGTCCTGCGTAGTCACACAGGCCCATGCTCAGAAGGGCCCTGAGCGTGCCCCACGCTGCTACTCCCATCTTGAAATTCTTAATCCTTTCTGAACAAGGGCACTGTATTTTCATTTTGCTCTGGGCCCCCATAAATCATGAGGCCCAGTCCTGCTCTCCAAACTCAATTTTCACATCTGTAAACCGGCGGTAACAACACCCTCCCTCCACAGGACCGCTGTGAGGATTACAGTCCGGGCCCCGTTGCTGACAATTCTCAACACTGCCACTACCTGCCTGGCCATCCCAGAAGCTCACATAAACAGTGGCTGCAATCGCTTTCAGGAATCATCTCAGAAGGAAGTCTTTAACTGCAGTCCTGAGACCATGACTCGAAGTTTCCGGAACCTTTGAAATTCTCACTGTTTATTATTTTTGTTACTCCCATCTGTTTCCTGCAGCAATGAACTCTTTAAATGAAAAGGCCTGTGGACGTGTGTGGGGGATGGGGGTCAGGGCGAGGCAGGGGGCAGTTGGGAGACTCCGCCCCTGGGGCCGCCTGGTTGAGGAGGAGCGTCCCCAGGGGCCAGTTAGCAGAGCTGAGGAAACAGACCAAGTCCCCGGAGCTTGTGCAAGGGAGGAAGGAAGAGGGGGCTTCTCTCTCACATTTGTACCCAGTTAAGCTCTCCAAGGAGGGACAGAAATGATGCAGTTACAGCTGATCCTACGAGATGTGCGTAAACCCACAGCCCTTCTTATCCAAGTGTTCACCCTGTCCTGCCTCAGCAGGTGCCTCTTGATGGGTAGTAATGAGGGTGCTCTGTCTCTTCCATCACTATTATCCCCAATGGGTGTCCAGCCCCCAACCCACCCCTACAGTTGATATTGAAATGGTAGCATCCACCTGGGATGATGGAAGGTGCCAGAACCCAAGGTCTTAGGACACTATTGGAGGTGCTCCTCTGAGCCAGTGTGCTGACTACCCCAAAAGGGACCTCAGCAGCCATTCACAGGAAGAACCACCTCTGTAGCTCCTCTGTCTATGGTGTCAGGTGACTACAAGAAGAGACTGCAGTGTATCGAGGGGCTGGTGGAGCCTCACTGGGCATCCCCAGCTGATGACCCAAGTGCTTCCTTCATGCGGGACTGGGCAGGGTCTAGAAGCTGAGTCCCTTCTCCTTTATTACAACCCCTCCACCTCTCTCCCTTCCCCCAGCCCAGAAATCCTCCCTTCTGGACCCTCCAGGTCCAGAAGCTTCCCTTTCCCCCCCCGCCCCCCCCCCAACTCTTCTCCCACTCTTCTCCCACATGTATTATTTCTGCCGTCAGTCTCTCTCATGCCCAGGGGGCCTAAGCTTTTGAAACTCGAAAGCCAAAAGCTGACACTCATTTCTCTCAGAGTTTCTGCTGAGTCATCCTCTCCCTGAGGCTAGGAGTACAGAGCTCACAGCTGGCAGAATGGAGGAAGGACCAAGGTGGAAACACCAGGAGCAAAGAACATGGCATGTCCCACCACCTGCTCTCACACGGTTATGGCAAGACTTACGATGATGATTTTTGTTTATGTTTCACAAGAAGTAGAGATATGCCTGTGGGTATGTGTCACCATAGCAGAACCATCTCTTTGGTGACAAGATGCTGGAGGAGGGGGTAATCCTCCCTTTGTGCCCTAAGACATCCAGCTATCAAAGAGGGGTGCTGGGAGGAACCCCAAGCCCATCATTGCCTGGGTTGATTACCAGGGTCTCAAATCTGAGACTAAGCAAGACTTCTCACTCTTGCGCTCCTGTCCACCCCTCTGAGGGTGACCATCTAAAGCCTCCACCTTCAGAAAAGTCACTGTGTCTGTGAGAGCAGGGTGGAAGTCATGAGTGCCTGTGATGGAGAACTTGAGAATTGGTAGGAGTTCTAATGCTCAACAAGGATCCTGCTGACAAGGAGGTTAGGTGTGCTTTGAACCTGAGCTTCTTTTGAATAGATGCATCATTTACCCAGTGAATCTTAACCATGCCATCAATACCATAAAAGTACTTTGGAAACATCCTCACCCACTTGGGGAAGTCTCCCAGCCAGGTGATGAGGAGCACTCTTTTTCCCCTTCAGAGAGTCTGACCAGCCACGGTGTTCACCATGGTCTCCAGTCTTGGTGGGAATAACTGTGGTCAGCAGCACTGAGACAGTCCTGGAAGAAGTTTGCTTAGGACAACTCTGGAAAGTAACACACTTCATCCTAATTTGGAAGACATTTCCACTCATCGCTCTGCTAAATGGCACCTCTTTTAGTCATTCCATGCCAATTCAGCTCTTTCTAGTAAATGCATTTTCAAGTTCAGAGCAGGAAAGGGCCTTTGGAGGAGTTTTCGGAAGGAACTGGGTGAGGTGAGGTGGAGCTTGGAGCCGCCATCACAGAGCCCACAGGGACCCTTGTCAAACGCTGGTTCTGGGTACAAGACCAAATCACAGAATTTCTCCCAAGGTTCTTTTTTTAAAATTTATTTATTTTGTAATTGACCTCCAAGTTAGTTAACATATAGTGCAACAAGGATTTCAGGAGTAGATTCCTTAATGCCTCTTACCCATTTAGCCCATCCCCCCTCCCACAACCCTTCCAGCAACCCACTATTTATTCTCCATATTTAAGAGTCTCTTATGTTTTCTCCCCACCCCCCATTTTTACATTATTTTTGCTTCCCTTCATTTATGTTCACCTGAGTCCTCATATGAGTGAAGTCATATATCTGTCTTTCTTTGACTAATTTTGTTTAGCATAATACCCTCTTGTTCCATCCACGTAGTTGCAAATGGCAAGATTTCATTATTTTCGATTGCTGAGTAATACTCCATTGTGTGTGTGTGTGTGTGTGTG